ACGATTTTCCTGAAGCTGAAAGCGCACGCGGCTCGGGTGGGACAGCGCAGGACGATTTGCGTGAAGCTGAAAGCACGCGTGGCTTGGGGGGGGGACAGCGCACACACGGCTATTTTTCTTTTAACCCTGACTTGTTTTTGCTCATATTATGTTTCATTTCCTTCACTGAGAGCAGAGCTGGAGTTTCAGAGACCATTGAAGGTGGGGTGCTGTCCTGTATAACGTGCTTTATATAGGTTCTGTGTCTTTGTCAGAATGCCCCCCCGGTCCCTCGACTCAGACCTGGGCTGACTCCCCCATCTCTGTAAGGCCTAAGTGCACTGCCCCCCCCCCCACAGTCCTCCTGCTCCTGTCCTCATCATGGAAGGCCACACATTAAGTATTAAACATGTCTTTTTAGATAAATCCATTCTGATCTGTCCGCTTGTGAAGTTCTGTGCTTCCTTCAGAGTACATTGAAGCAGTACAGTGCAATAGTCTGATATTCACATGAACTTTTAACTTTTTGTTTATTAACTATTTTTATCAAGCGGTAACCAATACATTTTTATTTTGGCATCCTTGCATTAATGTCAGGAATATGTCAACCAATTGACTTTGGTTGATGGAATTTTGAATAAAATGTAAAACTAAAAAACCTTTCTACCTCAAATGTGAAGATGATTGGTTGTGAGCTGAGAGGGATTATGTGTCGCAAGTAACAAAAGAATCACAGATAAAAGGTAAAGATTCCCTGTGTCTTTTTCAACAAAGACAAAACAGTAACAAAGAATCAGCTGTCAGGTTTTCAGCCCTAACTAAAAAAAAAAGCAATCGATAGCAGTGAAATATGGCTGTGACGCTGTACTGAGGATCTGCTCGCCAAGACGTTGTCATGCCGTGATTGTGTTTATACAGACTAAAAGGCGTTTTTATCTTCTTGCTAAGTCTTCTGTAAAAAGCGCGTCTTTGCCTGACAAGGTAATTTGCTGGACTTATATTTTTGGTCGTTCATTTAAAATTGCGGCCAAACTCTTGAGCGCTTACCACTAAACAAAGTCTGACATTTCATTTAAGATGTCAAAAAAGTTCTAAGCTATTTAACTAAATTACTGTACCGTAAAATACGTTTCCCCGGACCGCAAATAAAAGCGTGCTCTCTGTGAATTAAAACAAATGTTTCTACCTTTCCTATTTTTTGGTTCTCTGCTAAGTGTTCTTGGCACTAAACTAGTTTAGTTGAATTTGCTTCCAGTTGACAGACTGATCGGTCTAATAACTGTTTGGTCTGCACCCCAATCCCAGGAAAAGGGCCGCATTTCCTCTCTTGGTGAGACGGGGGAGGTGCAGGCGAGGCGGCCTGGATTAAAGCCACCGTTCTCTCATCTGGGCCGATTGCTTCTCACTGCCCTTTAAGGAAGTGCTTTGCAATCAGCCGCTGTCCGTCAGACTCATTTAAATTTGAGACGCTAATGAGTGTCTGTCCATTTCTATTTAAGCGTGGGAATGAGGCTAGTGGAAAGTTCACTTTCCAGTCATTACAGGCCAGGAAGGCTTGGGAAGCATCCTTACCGTTCCATACCATAATTATAACCGACAGCCCAGCATGTAATTACACATTTATTTCTTGTTTGGATTGTGTCCCCAGTCTCGACTCAATGAGAGCTGCAGAGAAGACAGCTCTCGCCGGAAACGAGATGCACGCCATGACCATCTCATTAGCCAGCTGAGACAGAGCGTTAGGATCTTGGTACCTCCATGCTAATTAAGCTTTATTAATCTGCCTTTCTGCCTTACTGCACATCTCCTCAGCCTCTGGATAAATAAACACTTCCAGCACATTCTTCCTGTACAGCTTCCACCGGAGGGCTGGCATGTCATTTCTCAGATGATGTGGGTTGCGTGTCAGTTGCACAGAGCCATGCCGGAGTTCATCTGGTGCACCTCCACCTGCAAACAGGGGCAAGCTGACTTTCCTGCAGTCGTGATTGGGGTCGTATCCCTGTAAAGGAGCCTGTTTTTCTGTTTTGGACTTAAAAGTTCGGATGACTAAGCAGCATGGACCCGGCACATTCACGTGCATCGATGCCTCAGCATGCCATGGTGGTCTAGCTCCTTCTGCATATGGCTGCCTGCGATGTTGACTGCCTCAGTGTGTGTCCTTTGCCCGAGCAGGTGATCAAGCTGGCCTTCGAGGAGTTCGAGCTGGAGCGCGGCTATGACACGCTGACCGTCGGTGATGGAGGGAAGATCGGGGATGCCCGCAGAGTCCTCTATGTGTGAGTGCAGTGGCGCGGTGTGGCGATGCGATGTGGTGCCAGCCAGACATTCGAAGTCTTGCCAAGCTGAGCGTGTTCCACGTCTCTCTTCCAGCCTCACAGGCTCCAGCGTCCCCGACCTCATCGTCAGCATGAGCAACCAGATGTGGCTTCACCTCCAGTCGGACGACACCATTGGCTCCCAGGGCTTCAAAGCCATCTACGAAGGTTAGTGGAGGTGGCTAAGCACACAAAACACAGAGTGAGAGAGAGAGAGAGAGAGAGAGAGAGAGAGAGCAGGTGCTTCCAGAAAAATGTGGGCAGCCAGCACGTCTGTTAAGGTTCCTGCACATGCGTGAGACCATAGGAGGACTTGGGGGGACTCATGGGGGGGTTGACTGTAATGCTGCTATAGCCTAACAGCACCCCCACATACCATAATTCAGTCCACTATGAATATTAAAGGCACCATCATCTATTACCCCTCTACATCTTTAGCTGCCCACTCAAACAGGTTGTCATCCAATAGGGGGCAGAACAGTGCCTTATACCCAGTGTAAATAACCATTGTATTCCTTATTGTGTGATATTAAAATAACCCAGAATTGAGGATTTCTCCCCAACTTTGCGGGCTGGTCCACACATACAGTTGCCCCATTGCTAGTGTATCGTATACATTTTCCATCTTGACAACAGGCTACAGTCAGAAATATATGAGATAAAAAGCATTAGGTGGAGAGTCTGAGTGCATCTGACCATCTGCTCTAATAAAGGCTAATATGCAGGATGTGCTTAGACAGCATCCTCGCTACCCCATTGCGGCCAGCAGGAGGCGATACGCATCCTGCCTAACTGATGAACAGCACTGTGCTTGTGTTTACTGGACTCCCCTCGCTCTAGCATGGTCACCTTCCCTGGTGATAAGGTCAAGCCCACGGTTCCATGGGCGGAACCTCCCGATGCTCACTTTGCGTCTCAGTCAGCAGAAAGTAATGAACTCCTGAGAGTGAAAGTGGCTCGTCCTCGGATGAGCCTGTCCCAGGCCTGGTAATGCTAACCCTTCCCCCACTGGGCACTGGTTCATAGCCTGGTAATGATAACCCTTCCCCCACTGGGCACTGGTTCATAGCCTGGTAATGATAACCCTTCCCCCACTGGGCATCAATTTATAGCTCAGT